GAAAATGATTCAAAGGAAAGAGCAAACGATCACCAACTGCAACCAGAACATCGTTCAGAATCATGTTCTTGAGCAACATCATCACATTGTTTGGAAGAGTAATTTAATCTATATTTGTTAGATAGTTGTACATACTTTTTATATTGACAAAATAAAATTTCCAGTTTATTATATTTATTCGTGCCATTGTAAGCGAAGCAACACGTTTCAGAAATCTTCTACAGACAATATCGTTCTTTATGTGCCACAAGTGAATAGCGCATCCTTAAAACAGTGGCCAACTTTGCCATCCACAATTTCTATGATAGTTTATTCTCATTCGTGATTTTTCGTCTTCAATCACACACTAATTTTTATTGTTTTTAGAAAAAGAATTAATGGATAGTCATTCCAGTATAACTTCCGTGACTCCAACAGACGAAACAAATAAACATTTATCTCATATTGAAGAAATAAACAATTTAAATACATCAGCAACATCATACAATGGTGATAATAATGATGATCAAATTCCAACAACTTCATTATCTTCTCATATAATACCGACGACGGATGACGACCACAATCGTTTTAATTCTTCTCAACAAGGAATTGTTGAATCGAGTCCCGGAACGATGAATAATCATATTGATGATAAAGCAGAACAAGATTTTATGCATAAAGTAGAGTATTTTAAAGGAATTATAAATAAGCATCAAGAAGACGACGACGACGACGACATACCTGATCAATCTTATATTCAACAAATCGATGAAGAAGATACAAAATCTCTTATACAACACACAAATAATCAAAATGAAGTAACAAGTGATTTTACGCAGAATACAGTGTCTGATGTTAATACTTTTGAACCATCGCCACCACCGATATCAACAATTACAACCGAACAGACAAATGGAGAAGAAATTAGTATAGCGGAAGCGAACACAGATGAACAAAAACATCAGCAACAAGAGGAGAGAACACTATTTGAACCAGAAAAAGGTAAATAATCGAAAGTTTGACTAAAAGGAAGTTGGATATTTTATTGAAAGTTTAGTGCTTTGTCTATTCAAAAAGAAAAGTTAGAAGTATGAGAATAGACTGTGTTTGGAATCG